GAGGGGAGGATAAAACTTACGGCACCTGTGGCAGCTGGAAAAAACACTCCAAAAACAGTGAAGAAGGACTCCCCCTGGCTGTAGTCCGGCAGCGTGTTGTTGAACATAAGCTCTTCAGAGTAGCCAACGAAGCCGTGCTCTGCGAAGACACGGAGGGCGAGAGGAGAACCTCAGAAACCACCGGGACTGCAGGAGACCCTCCAGCCTGCTCTCGGCAACCACCTGTCCTCTAAACACATGCAACAGCAGCGGCTGTTTCCAGGGACAGTTTGAAAGGATGAATGTCAACTTATTTGGTTGCGGGAGAAGGCAGAGGTCAGCATGGTTACAAGGGTGTAAATGCCAGGGAAAGGTGCAGTGGTGCAGGCCAGCACATCGAGAGGCACCACCAGGCTGGGCGGCTCTCGCCAAGCCAGAACACAGATCATATCGAGTCCTGCCTGAAATCAAGCAGGACATCTTCCTGTAAAACCTGTCCATGGAGGAAAACTGACTGCAGGGATCAGCTGATATTTATACTTACTTATCCATGCCACTTCAATCCTCTTTCCAAATAGAGCAAAATTATGATGCCATGAGACAACTGCATCCCTGAGCCAGCCCTAGGACCATATCCCAATTCTGTGTTTCTGACAGTCAAGCTCCTGCACAGACAAGACCTGAGATGTGCCCACGCTGTGAAGCTGCTACCAACACACACAGTTTACACACTGGTTACCAATGAGCCCAGAGCAAATAAAGCCAGTTTGTTGCAGGGGGGGCTCTCTCCTACAAGATGGGTTTCCCAGTGGAGAAGGAATAAAGTGCTCTAAAACTGCCCACTGCTGCGTTGTGCACTTACCCTCCTGATGCCATTGCTCTCTGGTTGCTGCATTATCATCTCCAAACCAGGGATAAACATGGGCCTGTGCATCACGACCAGCCGTTCCCCTCCCAAATCTTCTGCGGATGTTTCTCATGCCGCAACAAGGAGCAAATGCCGAGACCTTGGGCTGTGCCCCGCTCCCCACACCAACTTCTGCCAAGTCTTTCCAAGGTCATACACAAACAAGTTTTACTTTCCAAACAAAAGGTTTTAGAGAAGATGGGAGAGAGGGGAAAGCAATGGGTAGGATATCAACATCATGCAACTGGTTTACTGGGTATGTAATGGAGGATCCTGCTCCCTCACTTCACACTGGAAGGGCAGGTCAAATTCTTCCACAAACCTGGATTTGTTAGGAATAGTTGAGCCTGGCAGCTGATGTGCAGGCAGGGCATTAATTAGGAAAGGTTTTAGATGCTTAGAGGTAGAAAAGATAACTCATGAAAGCAGGTTAAGGAATTAACAATAAGTCTATGAAATTAATAATTTCATTTTCAACAGGCAACACTGCTTTTTAATGGAGTATCTTAATCTGTGGGAACTTCTCCTCCCTGTCAGTAATCCAAATGCTCATGCCAGCTGGGGGTGGGAGGTGAGCAAAGTCAGTTCCTTTTTTTCTCCTGCCACTACAATCTATTTCCACAAGACATGTGACTGCAATAACTTGAATTTTCTCATTAGCAGGCAGGATGTTGTTTATGGCTGCACAGGGTGATGGCCAGAAATTAAAAAAAGACTCCATCAAAGCTGTCCCATGCCTCAAAGACAACATTAATGATGTTTGGACAATAGATTAAACCGGAAAATTAAATCAGGCTCTGAACGCAAGACATATCCATTTAAAGACTCAGAATATAACTAACCACAGAGCTTTGAAGTTGCCACAGAAAAGTCCTATAGATAATCAAAAGTTTCCTACTACATCTGCATTCATTGTGTTGCCCAAACATGGATGGAAACACATTGATAGAAGAGGTCTCCTGCTGCTAGGCTTTTTAAAAGCACCAGCTATCTTCACCAGGACCCAGACCCAGACGAGATTTAAAGGGAATAAGCTCAGTGCAACACACTGACCTCTGGACCTCACAGACGTCTGCAGAAAGCGCAGCTTCTGGAGAAATAAAGGGGGGATTTGTGTAGGCTGTACGCTCCTGCAAGACCAGACCTGAGCTCCTTCAACTAGAATTCGAGCCCATGCTGGCACAGCACGTGGGCTGGCTGCAAAGCTCCCACAAACTGCTCGAGGAAAATTTCGGTCCCTGGCCAAGGGATTTTTGACAAAGTATGTGCTCCTCATAGAAACATTGATGTTTCATTAGCAAAACAAAAGGAGTGGGCAAAATAGTCCTCTCGCCCCAAGGAGATCTGCAGACCTTCTCCAACCTGTGCTTCGCAGCAGCAGCATCAAATGTATCTATGTCACTCTTGACAAAAGTTTGCCCCGCCTATTCTTAAAAATCTCCTGTGAAGTGGACTCTCACCCCTCTTGATGGTTTACTCTCATATTTTCCTGTCTTTATCATTTAGGTTTCCCTTACTGTCTAACCAAAATCACCCTGTTTGAAGTTCATGATGCTATCGCTTGCCTGATCCATAAGCTATCTGCATTTTTTAATAGCATCCTTTCACCTACTGGAAACAGTCCCATCCTGCGCTGGTGCAGTTGACGGTTCCTGCCAGGCTGTAAAACTTTATGTTTGTCCTTATCAAACCACAAATCATCCCTTTCACACCACTTTCCCAGCTTGTGCAAGGTCATCTGGAAGTCTGACCCTCTCAGTCAGGCTGCTGCGACTCCTTCCCAGCTGGGGGTCATGTGCAAATTGAATCTGCATAGTCTCTTTTCCATCATCCAAGCAGCAAGCAGTTAAGGAAAATACCAAACCAAAACGAGACCCTTGCAGAACCTCACCAGACACAGCATCCTGCTTTGCGAGTGAACCATCTCCAACCGGGGTCTTACAACCAGGTTTTGGGGCTATGGAATTCAACGATGGATAGATCCAGGCACTTTCGGTGCCTTACGTCTCCTTTCTCATACAAAAGGCCAAGTATACAACCAGACCACATTTTCTGTGATACCCTTTTGGCCATACCATGGCCAAAGAGAGACCGTGAGACCCATGAGTCTGACGTCTGACCTGCACCTGTGTCCATATTAATCTTAAGAAGCCAAACAATCTCTTGTGCTGCACCCATTCGTCTGCTGCTCCCCTTCCTATTTTATTTCCCTAAGTGTAAATCCTGGGTGGAAGAGACAAAACCCGAAACCATGGCAGATGTCACTGGAACCGCAGAAAACGACAGCCGTGGATTTTTTGAAAGAGCCACAGGATGCACCTACAACTCTATCCCACTTCTGCTTCCTTTCCTCGCAGCTCTGGCAAGCAAGAGGAAGCCCAGCCATTCCACATTTCCCCTTTATACAGAACCAGGAGCTTTCTTGTCTAATTAAAGAAAAGTTCATCCAAATGTTACTTGTTATTGCAACCTCATTTCTCAGTCAATCACCCTCCCGTGAAGCAAATCTCACATCCCTTTTGATTGGTTTTACACCAGGATTTGCAATTGCCATCAATTTAAGCAAGCTATCGGCACACGACTGCAGAGCTGAGAACAACACGCTGTGAGCATCTCCTGGCTGCCCTCATGCCTGCGACCGGAGCAAGTCATCTGTGACCTTTCAGCTGTCGTATTAATGGGACTAATTGTAGCTGACAGGGCAATTGGGCTGAAAATCATCCAAAACAAAACAGGAATCAGCAACTGAGACCAATCGGTTAAACCAACAGAGCACTCGGTCGGTTGTTCACAGAGTCAATTATCCACATCCCATTGAAAGTGCACTTCAAAAGGACGAGCTTCGGAAGGAGGAGGGAAGGAAACGTGATAGGGTCTATATTTGGCTCTCTGATCTCCAAACAAGGCAAGATCATTTTATTAATTTTTTTTTTGTAAGAGGATCTTTTCCTCCAGCTTACTGCTGGGCACATGAGATCCAAGCCAGATTCCTCCTTCCTCGCTCATTACAAAATGTTTGTCTGACAAATTTTATTCTCAATTAATTTATGCAACCCTGCAACCTCTAAATCCTGCCTTTAATGAGCCTGCTCTCGGTTGGCTTGCAGAGGGCTGGAGCTGAAGTGCTATAAACAATCTTCCTAGTGTCATGCTAGAAGGAAAAGAATCTGGTTCCTTCTCTGTGCCGCGTCTGCCTTATGGGAAATGCACAATAAAGAGCAGTAACAATTTATTTTCATCATTAGATACTCAATAGGGACCAGGCAAATAATGGGTTCTCAAGCGGTTGAGCTGAAGTAAATAAACAACAGGAAAAAAAAACTGACTTAGGGCAGTATCTGAATTATTCCTGTAATTTTTGACAGATTAAAATGATGTAATAAACAATAAAACCACCTAGCAAGTTTCAAATGGAAGAGCTTCCAGGATGAGCACCCTCCATTAACAAGCGCAGGGGGACCACAGGGGGCTGCACATCAGCCCGATGCAGGCAGAGAAGGAGGAGGAAGATGGCCAGGATTCTCATGTCCCCCCGGCCATGAGATGCTTGGGAGGAGGTACCAGCCTTCGCCTGGTTGCCACTGCTGCATCCCCCCTCCACCCTGGCTGGTTTCCACATTTGAGCTTTTCTTGCACTTTTTCCCACCTCTCACCCTGTGGAAGAGGATGAAAGCAGCTAGGGAGGTTTTCAGCACTCAGGGCACCCTTTAGCAGGGTGGCCACTCTGTGAAGCCCAGGGTTTCGGAGAGGTACTCAAGGAGGTTGGAGAAAGGGCACAAGGCGAAGCTGTGGTTATGCAGGGTCAGGCCATTATGCAACGGCACAGAGAACGACAGCGCTGCCAAGTTCCAGGCAACCTGGAGCTCATTACACATTAGTCAAGTCTTGGCCAAATTCAATAAGCCTGTTCACAAGCTTAAGGTTAAGTAAACCCTGGCACCAAGGCAGGGGCTAAATAATGCAAAAATGGAAAACCACCTTAAGAAACAGTTCCCAGAAGATGGTCACGTATTGTGCTCTGCTTGTGATTAGAGATTTTAATTATGAAGGTGAATGCTGAAGGCTTAAAATGGTGAGATATTTTTCTTTTCCTAAATAAGTAAGCCCACACGTTCCCACCTGGAAGGTACTTGCTGAGATTTGCTTTCAGAGGAACAGCTGGAAGTGTTTGTCTTGCAGCACATTTCACAGGTCTGACCCCAGCATTTTCAGGATCCTGTGTGATCTAAGACATGGAGAGCCAAAGAGTAATT